TAGATATGCAACAAGGATATATTGTGCAGCACAGGAAGTTACAGCCATTATCTTGTATAACTTTACATGGAGTATAATCTGCAAAATACTTAATCATTATGCTTATACACCTAAAACAAATAATGTAAATCAATGGCACTTCATTAAAAAGACATAAAAATAAAAAAGCAAAAACAAATGAAAATTTATCTAATTAAATCTGATTTTTCTATAAAAATAAGCAGAAAAAATGGAGGACCATGATCCTTCTAAACAGCAAACAGTATTAAGTGCTGTGTAGAGAAGACCCGGCAGTTTAGCAAAACCAGACCGTACGTCCCTGTGTTCCGGGGACGTAGGTGAACTGTACCGTTCATCTCCCTTGAGTGCAGCTGTGCCCCGGTCACTGTCACAGCAAACGAGGCGTGAATGAAATGCCATGAGCCCCATCCAGAGCTGGAGCAACTCCCACGCTTGACCATCTAGTGTCTTCCCTTTCCAGGGTTTGGCACAGATGAACATGGGGAGCTTGAAAGCGTCTTTAGGGGACCAAGTCTGGATCCCTTAACTTTGGGCTGACCATGTAATTTATTGCCCAAACCAGGACACTTGAGAGTGAACGTGGGCACTGCTCACCAGGAATGTTCACTCGGGACGGTCACTGAGCAAGAGGGAGGATTCTATTGTGCCAGCCATGATGTGCTAAAAGTGACCTATTAGAGGGGTCAGTTATCTTAACTAACACATCTGCCAGCTTACTTAACCCTGCCTTTCCTAACATGGAATTTTTTAAAAATACAATTACTTTATGAATGATACATTTTAAAATAGTGAATAAATTAAAAGCAGAAAGAAAAATGTCAGCCTTAATTGTACGATTTAACTGACTACTGTTAACAGATCTATTTCCATCCAGGTTTTTCACATGTTTATTTTTTATAGGTGTGGTTATAATACGTTCAGTTTTGAATCCTATAGTTCATTCAACAAACATTTTCCTCATTTTATTAAAGAAACTGTTAGTGAAGATCATTTTAGAATCTCATTCGTACTTTTAAAAAGACACTTATGTTATCTAAATCATACGTAAATGTTGTAGAAAAATTAGATAAATGGTTGTGTAAGAAGGAAAAAAGCCTACAAGGAAAATGTATGTATAAGCAACAAATGACTGTAGTATGTACGGCTCTTAATCTGCTTTTGACTTAAATCTAGTGACCATTCTTTCATGTGGTCAATTGTAATTCTATATCATGACTTTAAAATTTCCGTTGTGTTCAAAGCGATGAAAAATTTTAAAAAGCAAATCCCCATTTAATTCGGGGTTAATTAGTATTTCTTAAGATTTGTCCTGTGTAACTTTTTTGGGCATTACCTTCTGTACTTTTCCTAGTACAGTGGATGGCTACATCAGATTCTTTTTTTTTTTTTTATAGGATATTTGCGTACAAGGTATTAAACTACATTTTCTCAGCGTCTATTCTAAATCTCACTTGTATCATTTGTGGCAATCCTTTCCAATCATATAAGTAAAGATTATTAATATTTCAATTTGCATTAATTAATTAGTGAGCTCTCACTTTTCCCCAAATGTTTGTTCAGTTTTTTAAATGATTTTCCTATTAATATTCTCAGCCTAGTTTACTTTCTTTTGTTTTCTCTGCCTAGTTTTTGTTCTTGTGTTTTCTTAGCCTGGTTTTCCAGAGTAGTGGAAAATGTAGAAAATAACGACTGCATAATATATAATGCAAACATGCTGTATCTTACCATTTCCCTATTGTGGACTTTAATACTGATTCTAATTTGAGGTCTATTATTAAATAATGTTGTGATGAACATTTATGTGAGTAACCCCCCTACACACACACACACACACACACACACACACACACACACATTTTCAATCTTATGTAGGTTAAAGTCCTAGAAATAAAAATCACTAGATCAAAGAAAGAAAGAATGTAAAAATATTTGGAAATCATTTTTAGGAAATATATAGCCTCAAGCAGTCCCATGATCATGACGCTACAGCATTGTAAGGTAAACGTTTTTCTTCCTAATATATCTCATATTATGTTAAATGATTCCATCAAGTGTAAGGGGGAAGAGTAACTCCTCAGGCACTGTCTCTCAAGGGCACATATCCTTGCCTGGGGTGGTGGATATCCCTGGCCACTCTGCCTTACTCTCTGGGCTTCTGTGGAGCTCTTCATGACTGGTTTCTGGGCTCTCTACATTCCTTTTGTGAAGACATCTCCGAAGAGTGTCATCATTTACTGCGGGGACCCGAAGTTGTCTCCTGGCTCATGCACACCTTACCCTTTTCTGGCTCACCTTCGTGCATATGTTCAGCTCTTTGCTCACCTATGCCCATGCTGGTACTGTGAGCTCCAGGGAAGACTTGGCAGGTGGATGTAGGGATGGTCTTGTGTGAAAAATAAGTGTTTATTTGTTTTTCACCTTAGTCTTCGATATGCTGGATTTTACTTCTCATATTCATGTGATTTGTTACTCTTTTTAGTGAAGTTCCTTCTCTTTGTTGTGTTTGTTTTTGTTGTTGTGAAGTTTCTTCTCTTCTCAATGTTGATCTCACTCAATTCAGTGTTTGCCCAGCTACCATGAATTTGATGTGTTCTATCATCCTCAATTCACTGGTGGTGCTGTTTAAAGGATTCAAGACAACTGGGTCACAATGAACTGTCTTACCATTTAAATGTGGCATCTCGTAGATTTGCAAACTGAGGTTCATGCTCCCACATGTAAGATAACAAAAGAGGCAGCTCCAGGGGTCTCTTCCCTCCCTCCCCTCCAAACATGGACTCCATGGAGCACAAACTGGAAACCCCAGGACCTGTCGGTCTCCAAGCCTCTTCCAATTTCACGTTGCCCTTATAGAAACAAACAAGATTATGCATGTGAAACTCTAATGTACAATCCAGCTAAAATACAGAGAAAGTAATTATTTTCATGACAAGATTTCTTCCAGATTCCAAATATAGGTCTATCTGTGCTAAACTGAACTTGCTTGTGGAACGAGAGACACCACGGAAATTTCAAGGAAATTTCTCACCACTAAACATTTCCTGATGGCAGAGACAGAGCTTGTTATGTTCTGGCACAAAGAGGAAGATCAATATTCGCTCTACTGATGGATGTCAATGTGGTACTTCCCTGCCCAGTGGCCCTGGATCCCTGGGGCTCACAAGGCTGCCATAACCCGGTTGCCAGCAGGGGGAGGCAGAGGCCCAAAGCCAGGCCAGGCTGAGAGGGCTGAGGCCTCAGTACCTGACAGGCCTTGGTGGTGGCTGAGCCCCTGGGGGATGTTGGGCTGGACCCAGGGCCTGAGGTGGCCCTCCCCAGGTGGGAGGTGGGTGCTGGCTCCTCTGATAAGCAGAAGGTACTGGTTGGGAGGTTAGGTATGGCAGGGACACGTGAGGAGGAGAATTCTGTTAGGGAGATGAGAGGAAGGGTGGCTCAAAGCCAGGTGAGCTGGAAGGGAAAGGAGCTGGTGGCTGGGGCACTCGGGCAGAGAACAGGGGCTGGTGTGGGATGGCAGACAGGGAGCAAGGTTGACTGCGTCTCGTGTTGGGCCTGGGGCAGGGTGTGGAGATGGGGCCTGGGTGAGGCTGCGGGCCGTCATGGGAACATCTCAGCCTCCTGAGCTCTAGGCAGTCCCGGTGTGGGAGCAGCCCGGCCTCAGAGGAGAGAGAGAGACGCCCTGGAAACAGGAGCCCGTGTGCCCATGGATGGCCCCCTGCCCTGCTGGGTCCCTGGAGTTATTCTCCTTCCTATGACCTTTGCTAAATTGTTGAGGGGTTGGTGACAGTGTTTGGCTTAGAGAAGGTAAGAAATTTCTAACACCCAGAGAGGACCATTCTGGGGGAGAGTTTGTCCTTTTAAGTGAATTGCCCTTTAGATTCATCCCTGGCGGAAGGCTAAGCACCAGAGTTTTTTCTTTCTTTGGCTAAGCACCATATCATTTTCTCAATGACTTCCCATTGAGGAATCAATGAGATTCTATACAGACAGCGTGGGACTTGAGGAGGAGTGAGGGCCAGGGAGGCTTAGTGGGAAAGAATTCGCCTTCCAAGCAGGAGACTCAAGAGATGCGGATTCGATCCCTGGGTCGGGAAGATCCCCTGGAGACGGAAATGGCAACCCACTCCAGTGTTTGTGCCTGGAAAATCCCATGGACAGAGGAGCCTGAAGGGCCACAGTTTTGGGGTCGCAAAGAGTGGAACAACTTAGCAACTTAAGAGCAACAGAGGGCGAAGGAGGAAGGAGGAAGTAAAACCCAGAACTGACTGCAGAGGGTGTCTTGGAGCAGCCTGGTTATGTATTGAGGTGGTTCCATGAATAAATAGGAATTCAGTCACCATCGCGTTAGAGATCCCATTTATTGTGGCCCTGTGATCCCACTGCCAATCCATGTGGGATTCTTGCTGCTTCCCCAGGACAATGGTCAGTGCAGACAAAGGTCAGTCTCAAGCTTCTTGTAGAGGTGCTTCATTGTTCTCTTTATCCAGGGCAGGAAGTGTGAGACCTGGGTGAAGACTCCTGGAGGTATCCCATTCATCTTTCCATAGGAGAAAGTACCATGGACCACTTTTTTACACACCAGGGGTCCACCGGAATCACCCTGTGGGCAGAGATAAGGGCTGAACAGGCCTCCTTGGGGTTTTGTCTTCCCTGCCGCCCGGGCTGGGTGGTCTCAGTCAGGGGCCGTGGGGAAGACCCAGGCCCAGGGAGGCCTGGTCACCTCCCGGTCCTGGGGCTCCAGCCTGACTCTGACTGTTTTTAGCAGCTGGACTCAAGTCTACCTTTCTGTCAATTTTCTCTTGGAAACTCTGGTGATAAGACAGTGGTGGGATGACTGATGCTTCCTGACCCACTCAAGGGAAAAAAAGCAAAACATTGGATTCAAGGACCAGGCTGCCAAAGCTCTCAGCTGAGGATGAAGATACGGACTCTGCCCTGCGCATACCTCCCGGGTCTGTGTGCTTAGATGTGGGAAAACTGACCTTGAAGCCGGTCTTCGCCTTCCTTGGGTCCCCGACACAAATCTGGCTGGCCCGGCTGTAGTGGCTGGGGTAGAGGGTTTCACACACCCGGTCCTCCTGCACCGTCAGCTCTGCCTCCTGCAGGGTGGTGGCTGGATCGCCCAGGGCCACCTGGCCCCAGCCAGCCAGACTGCACACCTGTCCTGGCTTCACCCGGGCCTTGGCCCTGGGCAGACTAAGGGGCTTCACAGCTGACGTCTGCTTGGCCTTTCTCTCCAGCTGGTGGGAAGAGACAAGACTCTGGCTCAGGCAGTGGTCCTCTGGCCTGGATGCCATGATGAGGCTGCATGGACCCCGTCTCTCACCTCTCCCCCTGAGACTGGTCAGGTGGCCAGGATGGGAAGGAGGAAAGGGGCAGGAGATCCTGGGAGGGCAATGATCTGATCTCTGGAGGGCGGGGCCAGTGGGGCGTTTTCCTTGCCTGCAGTAACATGATGTCATTGGAGAAGTTCTTCGGATTATAGTCTGGGTGGCAGATGGCTCTCCTCACCTGGATGACCTGCTGGGGCCTCTCCTGCTGTTTGATGTTGTGGGCCCCCAGGGTGACGCTCATTGAGCTGCACGGAGGGCAGAGCAGGGGTGTGGGGATCATGGGGTCACCGGAGATACAGCCCAGGTGCTGTGACAGGCAGCTGACACCAGGGCAGGGCAGCCGCTGAGGGGGAATTGAGGTGACAGACGGTCCTGGGGCTCAGTGACTCTGGGCCCTGTGCTTCTCGGTGACATGAGGGCAGGGCTCCCGGGAGCTTTCTCAGCAATATTGTGAGGTGACTCTGAGCTTGGGTTTGGCTCTCACTGCACACTCTCATCCTTCTCTGATGCTTTATTTGGCCATTGTGGGTCAGCCCTTCTCAACCCTGTCTCTTGTTCTCACCTCCGAACCACTGACCTCAAAACTTACCTGTCCTGTTTCTCAGCCTTTCATCACCCTAGGCCTGCTCATAAGATGGCTTGTTTCATGAGCTCTTGTCCTGATTTCCAGGATCCTGGGGTGAAGGAGGGGTACCCCTGGGCTCAGCCTCTGGGGAGAGGACAGGTCCCTGTCCAGGCATCAGGAAGGGTAGGCTGGCTACTGCCCCTCACCTCCCTCTGCAGTGAGCAGCTGTCAGAACAAAGTCCTTTTGTATGAGGACACCACCACACCTCTTCCAAGTCTTCTCACCCAGAAACTGAATGAAAGCCATGTAGGGGCGGGAGTGGGGCTTGGCCTCGTGGCCCCCAATGATCTCCTCTGAAAGAAAAGGCTGAAAGATGGGGAGATGGGAGAGGCTATGGTTAGAAGGGAGGTTCGGTAAAGTGGCAGTCAAGGTGGGTCAACGGTGCCCAACAGACACTAGGGGAGAGTCCCCCAGGGTCTCACTTCAGTGGGAAATACTTTTCTGAAGCCCAAACCTCAGTATTGTTCTCCATGCCCTGACTCCCACAAACATATGGAAGGGTCCGAGACTGCCTTCCAGAGGGTGGAGCCCAGAAGATCATGGATGGGACTCCCAGATGAGCCCTCATTCTCATGGAGTCTCCTGGACCCTCTGAGCCTCTGCTAACATCCTGATTGGTGCCATTTTCTAATAATCCACCTATGAGATTATGGAGTTGGGTTTTCTAAAATCCTCATGTCTTAGGGCATAATGCATCCCACGATCTCACTAAACATCTGTTGACTGCATGCGTGAATGGCCTCCAATTAGCTTTTGGCTGAGGTTTGGTGGGGATAGTACTGGTGGGATTTAAGACCACAGGGATGGGGGGGGGGGACCCTGCCAAAGACACTGGGGCAGAAAATGAACTGCTTGGGGCCCAGGGAAGAGTAACGACACCCAGAGAGCTTAGGGTGCTGTCATCTAGCCATTTCTGACCAATCACACCCTGGGCTCCTCTCCTGGCAGGAGTGAAGGGTGGGGGAAGCGGACAAGTTTCTCTGGTTCTTAAGCTGGGTCCACTGACAGCTCCCGTACTGTGGATGGTTGGTCTGAGTTGTCCTTTCCTGGCCGGAGTGAGGAATTTTCTTACTTGTGTTTTGTAGCTTCACATCCTCCACCAAATGCACAACCCACTTTACCGGTGGTGAGAGAGAAGCTGAGAGCTACAAAGCTTTTTGTGAAAGCTTGCTTCCTACCATTCATCCTTGCTGAATGTCTATGCAGCATCAAACCTGTAGTCTTGGTTGGGATGGGAGCTGGTTCAGAGATTAGAGCTGAGCAGAAGGACCAGGACTGCGGGAGGTTTAGTGAGATGGGCGACCCTGTCAGGAATGGGGATGGTCACTCACCTGTCCCAGCCCAGGAGGCAGAAGAAAGGCCATCAGGAGCAGGAGTGGCTGCATCTTCCAGAAGGTCTGCCCAGATCACAGCTGCTGGGGTTTCTTCCTTCCAGACACAAAGCATAGAGGAAGGAAGGAGGGGAGGCTCAGGGCCCCCACAGACCTCCCCGAGCTGTGCATCACCCCAGCTGGGTGTGAGCACGCCACATGTGCCCATGTTCTCTGCTTGGGAGAGGTGAGAACGGCGGTCACCACACTTGCACTCCCTCCGCTGAGTCACAAAGCAAGAGGAACAAGAAAGTGGAGGCTGGGGTGCAGCCGGGGGAGGAGGTGGGTCCCCAGAAGCCCTCAGTGACTGAAGCAAGAGTGTCTGCATTTCTCCCCTCTTGGGTCTTCTTTGATTCTGGGGAAAGCATGAAGAGTTACCCGATAGGTGAGCTGCAGGGATAACAGAGACATGGCTCCTGTGCTTGAGAAGCTCGGGGGCCGGAGGAGACCTAGAATCTGAGTAGAGATCACGTGGGTGAGGACTATGGCGTGGGGCTCTACTTGGGGCCAAGTGTGAGGCAGAGACTGGACTTGCTTTAGGAGCAGAGAGACATGGACTCATCCAAGTACCCCAAACTTCAAACCCATCTCCTATTTTGCCAGGGTTCTAGCCTCACATTTTTGGAGGATTTAGAATCTCCTGTTTAAATATAAGTATTCTGTAACAAAGAGAGCCTTTCTTATCCCAAAATTTTGAACGAAAGTCCTGAACTTGATATTCACTGAACCAGAAAAAAACCATCACTGGGTCCTTCGGCAATGAGGGACATGATTGGGTTGTGCTGAGGCATCCAGCACCCCTTAATCTGAGATGGAGGCTGTCCCACCTGAATCAGGGTGTTTGTGAGTCAGGAGGGGCTTCCTCTCCAGAAATGCTGGTGAGTGGTGAAGGGGAAACAGATGCCGGTTATATAATACTTACTCCCCACTAAGTATTCCCTGTCCAGAGTCCAGAAAGCCACATCTCAGATGTCTCTGGGCCAGGCCATCCTAAACATGTGCAGATGACCCAAACACTCTCACCAGTATGAGGATAGAAGAAGGAAATGGAAAGGATGGCATGAGGAGCTCTAAACAACCCAATCCCATGTGAGTTGAAGCAAGAGCATCTTATGAATAAATAGAAAAACAGTGGAAGAAAATATGCTTAAGCATTAATGCTTATGACCTGGGGGTGGTGGAACTGCTCTTCCTTTACTTTTCTTACCCATATGTCCTGTATTTAGTTGTCTTTCTGTGATGAATGGGCAGAGGAGCCTGGAGGGCGACAGTCCTTAGGGTCACAGAGTCGGACGCAACTGAAGTAACTTAGCACACTTTCACTCACCGTGTTGAATATGTTCCATTTATGATGAATATCTTTTGATGAATATGTGTTACTTTCTACCCAGAACCCATTATGCAATAGTTGAAGCCCACTCTCCATTCAAATGCTCAGCAAGCCACTTCTCTTAAGCCCTCTCTAAGTTGCATGTCTTAAAACTAAGGTTGATTTTCTGAAACTTATATCAAAACTTCAGCACTTGATAAAAAAGACAGAAAGAAATATACCCAATAACTATAGGCTATAGATACTCTTTGAAATTTTCAGATACCTAGAAACTAATGCTTTTCCTTATAGTGAGTTTCCTTTGGAGATAAATATTTATACACAAACACACGTGGGAATGATGAAGGTGGGGAGCTGCTGGCTCAGCCCAAGGTGGAAGAGCTCCCTAAAGGTCACCTGGGGCTGAAGGAGGGTGTGCCCTCAGGACACCAGAGGCTGCACAGAGCCCTGGGCCCAGGACTCCAAGGCAGGGCTGTGAGAGGCACTCAAGCTGGGCCTCGGAATACTGAGGGCCTCCTGCAACTTTCTCAGGCTTCTGAGCTCTGCCTGTCTGACACAGGGAGGGAACACTGCATGGGATGAGCTACACCTTTGTAAACTCCCCCATTTCTGTTAGGGTGGACAAGTGCCCGCCTGCCTCAACCCTCAACCTCATGTGGCCTTCCTTCCAAATCTGGATTCTCTTGTTTTCCCCCAGGGCACTGGGATGGGGGGGAGGGGAGGAGGTGTGGACAAGGAAGAAGGAGTATGGCTGAGACACGAGGGTTGTCAAGAAGAGGGTCGTGTGTTCCTGAGAGGGGTCTCCTTCTCTGATGCAGCTCACGGGGAGCCTGGACGGTAGCTGGCCCTGGGGACATGTGACTGGAGGGAGCTGGCTGTCAGTGCAGCAGGAGTTTTTATTCCAGAGTTGGAACAGGGTGGTGTCTTGGAGGCGGAAGCCAGTAACAGATCAGAACTATAAACAGGTCAGACATGGCAGGTGCTGAATGAATGTGTTTAGGTAAGTAAAGGAGGAATCCATGATTTCTGCTCCAGAGATGCAAGTTTATTAAGTTTCAGGCAGCCTAACTTCTAACCACTTTTCCCACTGCCTCCATCCCAGGGAAAATGGACAGATCAGTCCTTGGAGAAACCTCAGTCTGGTCCCTGAAGTTCATACTGTTTCATTGTTGTTTGGATCCAAGGCAAAAAGCTTGAGATTCTGGTGAAGATCCTTGGAGGTGTCCCATTCCTTTTTCCATAGGACACAATGCCCTGGGCCACATCATCACACACAAGCGGGCCCCCGGAGTCACCCTGTGGGCAGAGAGGGCAGGACTGAGCTCACCTTCTTCAGGTTTGTTCTCCCTGCCACCCTGGGGCGGGTGGTCTCTGTTAGGGGCCCTGGCTGATATAAGGCTCTTGTTGGTCCTGAGGTTTCAATCTGGGCCTGACAATCCGCCTCCTCCCACAGGAAGCCTCTGCCCATGTGGGACTTTGAGGCAATGTCCATCCCCCAGGGACAGCAGACAGAGACAGGACAGGAGGACAGGCTGGGGACACAGGACAGAGCTCGTTCCCACGGCCCCGGACCCAAAGACCAAGGCTTTGCATGGATAGTACTGGGGATCTCACCTCAAAGGAACCCTTCCTCTTTCCTGGGTCCCCTGCACATATCTGGGTGGTGGTTCTGTAATATTTGTAGCGAGAGGTGCATTTCTCGGCCCTTTGGACTTCAAGCTCTACCTCCTGTAGTTTATTTGGGCAGGACATATTCACGTCAAGACGCCCCCAGCCAGCCACACTGCATAGCATCCCTGGATTCACCGTATCCCAGTCCCTGGGCAGACTGATGGGCCTCACAGCGGTGGTCACTTTCGCCTTCCTCGTCAGCTGAAAGCAGAGGAAAGGCACTCTTACCTACTGATGGCCCACAGAGACTGCAGGACGGTCGTGGGCTTGCCTTCTTCACAGCCCTGGGACCACAGAAGGGGTCATACAGGAGGAGGGTCTGGACTGAGGTCATGGGGGATGCAGAGCCCAGGAAGGAAGTGTCCTGGAGTCAGTGTCCCACCTGCAGTAACATGATGTCGTTGGTCCTAGTCTTGTCATTATAGCGTGGATGCGGGATGGCTCTTTTCACTGCGATGACCTGCTGGGTCCTCTCCTGCTTCTTGATGTTATGTGCCCCCAGGGTGATGTCAATTGAGCTGCACAGAGAGCAGAGAGGGAAAGGGAGTCACAGGAGACACAGGCCAGGAACCTGAAGGAATGCTTGGGCCAGGGCGGGACTTAGGGAGGGGAGAATCCTAGGCGATGGGCCCTGCAGCTGAGCATCTCTGTGCTCTCTGCTTCCTGGCAGCCTGGGCAGGGTAGTAGTTCCTGGAGTCCACGGAGGGTGTTCAGTCCTGCACAAGTGTGTCTGTGTCTAGGAAAATGTGAATTTTTCACACGTGCACTCTGGGCTCCAGGGCACAACATTGACTTCCTTCCATATTATGTTGGATCAGACCCTCTCTCCATGCGTCAGTGGCACTGACCTGTCCCTCTCTTGCCAAAGCTCACCTGTCCTCTGAAGAGCTTCTTACCTTACCTGGTGGCCTAGGTCTGCAGCCCCTGAGAAGAGGGTTCCCTGGGAGGGCTCAGAGAGGGATGGGGACCCGGGCACTGCTCCTCACCTTCCCAGGCAGTGAGCTGCTGTCAACACGAAGTCCCCACGCACAAGGAAACCCCCACAGATCAAATTGTTCTCTGCAGTGTGTATTTGAAGATATGCCATGTAGGGACGGGAGTGAGGCTTGGCCTCATGGCCCCCGATGATTTTCCCTGAAAGAAAGACACCAGCCTGCCCACTGTGCTCATGGAGCCAAGGCTGGGGAGGGGAGATGGGTCCATATTTGCTCGTCTTTGACCTGAGTTAGAAAAGTTGCTGAAGATGGGCCAGAACGAGGGTGTGTGAGAGTGCAGCATCTGAGCAGGTCTGTCCATGTGGGGAGGGACTGGGCCTCTGAGGGTGGGACCGTTACTTACCTGCCTCCCCAGTGGGGGACAGAAGAAGGGCCACCAGGAGCAGGAGCAGGGCCATCTCTGCAGGAAAGCTGCCCAGATCTGAGCGGCGGTTACTTCCCTCTGGTCTTTTAACCAGTGTCTCCTCCCCATGTTGCGGCTTTTCTCACTTGAGATTCTCTGAAGTCTCACACCTCTGTCTGGTTAGGTCCTGGGGTCCGAGTGGAGTCTGTACTCTGTGGTCACTACAGAAGCGCCCATCAGCTCTTGGCTTCGAGCCATCACTCAGCAGGAAACAAGAAAATCACTACAAGTAGAAGTAATGAGACAAATACCAGATCTTTGCGCCCCAGCATCCTGGGTCCTGTGATGAGAGATTCATGACATAGAATGTCTTTATTTCTGTGGTTCTCTTTCATCACCAGGATGATTGTGTACTGAGGCCTCTTTGTATGAGAAATTTGGAGATAAGCTCTCTCACTTCTGGTGGAGGAGACAAAATCGTCAGGGTCAAACAAGGATGGTGAGAACCATGCTGTGGGATAAACAGGATGGTGTGTGAGAGTGATGCTGAAGAGAGATTATTCCAATTGTTAAAGACTGCGTATTTGTTTTTAAACAAACATTGTTTGTTTAAACAACAAACATTGTTGTTTAAGCAACATTGTTTTCCCCATGAACCTGTATTTTGCTCAGGATACAGTGTGGATAGCACTCGTCTGCTCCTCTTAGTTTCAGGGAGGTTTGAAGCCTGGGTGCTGAATTACTTGATGTCTCACTCACACTTGCCCAGTGGATGGAGCTGGCTGCTCACTGGGCATGTTGGTTTCTCTCCACGAGGCACCTCAAGTCACCTCTATTTCTGGGATTGTCATTCTCCCTCACACATGACATGTTGTTGGCTTTCTCCCAAATAAGCATCTGCTAAGAAACAAGCCAGACACAAGCTGGGCTCTTTTAATTCCCTAAATTTTGATGTCCCATGGCATCTATTCTACCATATCCCTCTGTGTGAGGCAATCAAGAGCTCCCAGCAGATTAAAAAGGAAGGGCCCTAGATTTCATCTCCCAGCAGGAGTGTTGCAGTCAAGGAAGAAGAGCCTGTGGGATGGGAGTTCCACGTCAAGTGAGAATGGATGCCAGGGAGGCAAAGCAGAATTCCCCCACCACTACCCAGAGAATGGCCTTCTGATGTCCCCATACAATTTGCTAGCCAAATTATCCCGGTCATGTCCCAATAATGGAAAAGGTGGAGAGAGGCATATAATTGAAAACATCATGGGGCCTAAACACCTTGATCTCAAGTCTCTTCTAAAGCAATGAAACCTTTGATTAAGAAACAAAGCCCACTGCTAATATGGATTCTGGCAGGGGAGCACAGTTAACCAGGCCACGGTGTCCAAGCCAAGCCCACGTAGGGTGAGAATGTGTCCACATGTGGCCTCTCTCCTGTGTGGACACACGTCTCACCTTACACCCTGCATTGGACATCCTGGATCAGGTAACAGAATACATGTGAGGCGGAGATTCAATGTCCACATGGGGTAGGGAGGGTGTTCACACAAGGGATGAGTGGTTTCTGATCAAGGGGGATTTGTGGGCCTTCTCGGGGGTCTGGGCAATCAGGTGGGATTTATCAGAGCAGGAAAAATAGGGTGAGGTGGGCATTGATAGGAAGGGGCTACCTAATGTGCATCACCAGATCCTGGGGTGGTAGGGTATCAGGGGATGCACTTGGGGATGATGGGTGAGAGATCGCTTATATATATCTCTGTAGATGCTAATCAGATAAGTAACTTATTAAGGCTACTGAGCTAGGTTTTTCACTGAGGATTAGATGATAATTGTGACATCAGTGTTAATTTCCTGGGTCTGAAGGTTGGATGGTGGCTACATATGTCCTTGTTTGTAGGAATTACATTCTATAGTATTTGAGAAGCAATGGAGTGCTGTTTCAGTAACTTATACTAGCAAACGGTTCTGGAAAGGAAAACTTGCATTGCAATTGCAACTTGTCTATGAGCTTGAGATTGTTTCCAATTTAAAAGGAAATCTGTAACTTTTACATATATAATAATAACCTGTTTTAAGATATAATTGAAAAGAAAATCTGTTCAGGTGGGATTTATCAGAGCACGACAAATAAGGTGAGGTGGGCATACCTCAAATATAGGTATGAGGCTGAAGAAAAACTTAACCAGAATTGTGAAAAACCTATTCATGCAAAATGTTAAACTACTTCTGAAAAACACAAGAAAAGTCTTTAGAAGCAGCAAGATATTCTTAGTTCTCGAATACAATGGATCTACACCAAAAATGTACTGATTCTCCTAAGTTAATACATGAATATGATTATAAAAATAATATATATAATATCATTTATTTTTCTGGAATTGAGCTGCAGGAGTTGCTTGTATATTTTTGAGATTAATCCTTTGTCTGTTGCTTCATTTGCTAGTCCAGGTTGGATGCATGAGACAAGTGCTCAGGGCTGGTGCACTGGGATGATCCAGAGGGATGGGATGGGGAGGGAGGTGGGAGGGGGGTTCAGGATGGGGAACACATGTAAACCCATGGCTGATTCATGTCAATGTATGGCAAAAACCACTACAATATTGTGAAGTAATTAGCCTCCAACTAATAAAAATAAAGGAAAAAATAATATATATAATGTGATTTTTTAAGAAACCTATTGAATTTTTTCTCCTAGTGTTCCACAAGTTCTAGACAATATCTAAAATTTATGTGGAAAATAAATATGAAAGAATCACTAGGGAAATTTTGTCCAAATGAAAAATGTATAATAAGGGAGAAGGTTAGCCTATCAGAGCTAAAAACTATGAATGTTCTTTCCGGAACACAGTGTGATTTGCCCTCTGTTCTTCTGCCCTGCTTTTCTGCTCTATAGTGTCATATCTCATTTTGGCTTCATTATTGGCTGTCTGTTATATATCTATGAGGATTTTAGTTGTTACACGGAAGCGTATGCCTTCAGCTTCCCCCGTCTCTCAGATGGTAAAGAATCGGCCTGTAATGCCAGAAACCTGGGCTTGACCCCTGGGTTGGGAAGATCCCCCGGGGAAGGGAATGGCTACCCACTCTAGTATTCTTGCCTGGGAAATCCCATGGACAGAGGAGCCTGGCAGCTAGAGTCTATGGGACTGCAAAGAATCAGACAGGACTGAGCAACTAATCCTTTCACTTTTTTTTTCACTCATATGTGAACCTCGTAATGGTATATTTTCACTTGTCTTCCTTCTCACCCTTTGAGTTATCTTTGTCATACATTTCACCACTATATGCCTTAAATACTATCTTGCCTTAAATAGTCAATAATCAATGTAAGAAATTGATATAAATTCTTTTCCATTTAGTCACTTTTTAAAAATTAAAGTATAGTAACTCACAGTATTAGTTTCTGGTGTACAATATAGTATTCCATATTTTTATAGTTTATACTCCATACAAAGTTATTATATAGTATTGACTACATTCCCAGTGCTATACATTGAATCCATGTATCTTATTTATTTTATACCTACTGGTTTGTACCTCTTAATCCCCTTCGACTATCTTGCCTCTGTCACCACCCACTCCCCTCTGGTAACCACTAATTTGTTCTCTGTATCTATGAGTCTGTTTCTATTTTGTTACATTTGTTCAACTGTTTTATATTTTAGATACCACATATAATTGAAAATGTATAGTAGTTAGCCTTCTCTGTCTGATTTCACTAAACTTAATACTTTCCAGGTCCATTCATGTTATTGCAAATGGAGAAATTTCATTTTTTTATGGCTGAGTATATACTATTGTGTATATATATGCCACTCCTTCTCTATCCATTCATCTGTTAATGGATGCTAACCTTGATTCCATAGCTTGGCTTTTGTAAATAATGCTTCTTTGAACATTGGGGTGCATATATTAATGACTTATTGAATTAGTGCTTTTGTTAACTTTGAATATATACCCAGATGTGGAATTGCTGAATCCTATGGTAGTTCTGGCTCAGATGGTAAAGTGTCTGTCTGCAATGATGGAGACCCGGGTTTGATCCCTGGGTTGGGAAGATCCCCTTGAGAAGGAAATGGCAACTCATTCCAGTACTCTTGCCTGGAAAATCCCATGGACAGCGGAGCCTGGTCGGCTACAGTCCATGGGGTTGCAAAGTGTTGGACATGACTGAGCGACTTTACTTTACTTCATGGTAATCCTATTTTTAAGTACTTGAGGAACTGTGGTACTGTTTTCTCTAGAGGCTGGACTAATTTATATTCCTAACAACAGTATACTGGCTTTTTCTTTTCAACATATCCTGTTAACACTTGTCATTTGTTATCTTTTCGACAGTAGTTCTTCTAAGATGTGTGAGGTAATATTGTGATTTTGATGTGCATTTATTAGGTTGGTGCAAAAGTAATTGCGGTTTTTGCATTTTGCTGTTTGATATTGGAATACATTCTTTTTTCTTTTTTTTTTTCTTTTTTATTTTTTTTTCATTTATTTTTATTAGTTGGAGGCTAATTACTTTACAACATTGCAGTGGTTTTTGTCATACATTGAAATGAATTAGCCATGGATTTACATGTATTCCCCATCCCGGTCCCCCCTCCCACCTCCCTCTCCACCTGATCCCTCTGGGTCTTCCCAGTGCACCAGGCCCGAGCACTTGTCTCATGCATCCAACCTGGGCTGGTGATCTGTTTCACCCTAGCTAATATACATGTTTCAATGCTGTTCTCTTGAAACATCCCACCCTCGCCTTCTCCCACAGAGTCCAAAATTCTGTTCTGTACATCTGAGTCTCTTTTTCTGTT